CGTAGATAGACCGGTAGATTAGAATAGACGTTGGGAAATTTAGTAACGTTTAATAGAGAAACCGCATAGAGACTGTAGATTAGATTCATCAGTTACAAGGCAAAACGTCTGGAATTCCGCCTGTTATGTGTGAATTAACCGTCCAAAACCGGATTAGCGTAATCATCGGTTGATTACCAGATATTTTAGTAGCCCCCTGCGCCCTGCTGTAGTCTTCGCCCCCAAGATTAGAGAAAACCCCTCTCCGTTCCTCCAAATGCATCCATGATTCAATATCTCTCCTTCTAGTCATATAATCTCTCTTATCCCCCGGTTCAGTCTGCCGCCATCGTTCCTTTTGACCCTCACTAAAATCGATACCCCCTCATACCCCTCTCTACGACATCTATCACAATGGCTCCTCCTCCACCGCCCTTGGGACAGCGGCTTCTAGGCCACCTCCGACCTATGATACTCATCCTCCTCATGGCCCAAGGTATCTCCCACCTCCCTCCCCACCTCCCCCCCACTAACCTTACCCAGCCTGGTCCGTCACCATCCTCACCCTCCTCCTCAAGCTCGACCTCCGCACCCTCTTCACCTACGACACCCTCCGCCACAAAGCCTTCGGCCGCATGTGGGCCAAATACGGCGACCTCATGTCGCGCGAGATGCCGCTCAACACCGCCGCCCTCCTCGCTACCGTGCGCGGTACCGTCCTCGACCTCGGCCCCGGCAGCGGCTCGCAGCTGTACCAGTTCACCCCAGGGCAAATCGACGTGGCGTACGGGGTGGAGCCGGCGGTAGACCTACACGTACTACTACGCGCGGCAGCGGAGAAGCGGGGGTTCGAGGGTCGGTATAAGGTGGTGACGGCGGGAGCGGAGCCGGAGTCGTTGGTGCCGGCATTGGCGAGGGAGGGGGTGATTGGGGAAGGGGGGGCGGAGGTATTCGATGAGATTGTGTGCGTGAGGGTGCTGTGCGGCGTGCCGAGACAGGAGGAGGTGGTGAAGGGGTTGTATCGGTTGTTGAAGCCGGGGGGAAGGTTGGTGGTGTCGGAGCATGTGGTGAACCCCTGGCGGTTGAAGGAGGGGAGTATCGTGGCGCGCGGCCTGCAAATTGGATATCATCTTTTGGGTTGGAAGTTTTGGGCGGGGGGTTGTTGCATGGATCGCGATACGGAGAAATCGTTGAAGGAGGCGGGGAGTTGGTCGAAGATTGCGTTGGAGCGCTCGCAGTCATGGGCGGTGATTCCGCATATCGTTGGATACCTGGTCAAGGCATGAAGGGATCTTTATAAGATCAATGATAAATAAAACTGCGGAGATAGTTCAATTATATTGTATCACGCAGACTGCAGTGAAAGCTATACTCATCCTATAATGGACTACTTTTACCAGGAGTATGGATTGTTTTAACAGGAGCAACCTGAGAATCAACCTCAATCCAATTGTGAAACCTCCAACATCGCACGTACAAAACAATCCCAAATACCGCTGAATAAACTTCTCATTCGGATTATTCAAATTTGTCCAATAATCCGACGCAATGTTACCTCCAGTAGATCCCCATGTTCTCGAGCAGAACCCGCATTTCGGTGCTCTGTATAAAGATTTGACGACGACCAAGTTGAACCAAGATGGGACGACGATCAACCACAAAGACGAAGCCCGGCAAGCCGAAATACGAAGTGTAAGTAGGGTTTGCCAATCCTCTGCACCGAGTGATGACATCTATTCTATTGTCCATCTCGCTAACCCATCGGCAGCAACTCTTCGAAATCCGCGAGAGGTTGGCAAGGACCCGGATCCTTAGAGAAGCGCTGTTATCATTCGCATCCAAGAGCTCGGATCTACCCGATGAAGTGCGCTGAACAAATCTTGTTATTCGACTCGAAAAAGGGGTTTCTAACCTCCATCCTAGCTCCAAGAAGTCATCGTGCTGCTCTTATCCGAGTCCGAGAACGAGATCCGCATCCAAGCCGAAGAGCTCCTCCGGGATGACAAACAGTACTTCCTCGTCCGTCCCTTTCCCCAAACCAATAACGTCCTCAATCTAACACCTACAAGGAAAACATCGACCTCATAACCTCCACCCTTACCACCCACCTCGCCACCCTCGTCCCCCCTATCGCCGCCCTCCTCTCCCCCGAAGGTCCGTTTTATTCCCCCTTCCCCCCTCCTCACCTAACTAACCTCTACAGACCCCTCCATCCAAACCCTCACCACTCTACCACCACCCTCCACCCATCCCATCCCGCACCCCACCTCCCTCCCCCCTACCACTCTCCCCCTCGCCACCCACACCACCGCTCTCCAAACCGCCCACACCACCCTCTTCCCCGCACTCATCACCCACCTCGAGCGGACGATCCACGGGCAGTCGGCGCGGCATGCGCGCGCCGAGGCGGAGCATTTGGGGTGCGTGGCGCGGGCGATGGAGTTGAAGGCAAGGGTGCTAGAGGGGGGGAGGGGGGATGCGGAGGTGGAGGAGGCGTTGAAGGCGTATGAGCGGCATTTGGGGCGGGTGGAGAGGGGGCTGGGGGGACGGGTGGAGGCGTTGAAGGGGGAGTTGGGGGGTTATGAAGGGAAGGGGATGAATGGGGTGGTAGAGAGGTATGTGGAGGTGGTGAGGGAGGTGGAGGAGGTGAGGAGGGAGGTGGAGGAGTTGGAAGGGAGGGTGAAGGGGTGATAGGAAGGGATCTGGAGGGTTGATATCAAAGAAGATCGATTGAAAGGGGTATCTTGGTCTATTATCGTACACGCGAAACAAAAAACCGGTCATGAGCCTCCTCCCGCCACCACCCTACCCCTTCCCCTCCGCTCCTCCCGCTCCATCTTCCTTAACTGATTCCCACTCATCCCCTCCTGCCCCCTCCCCTCCTTCCACGCCCTCACCCCCTCCTCACTCACATCATCCAACACAAACCGCCCCACGACCCCATTCCTCCACCGCTGCACCAACCACCCCGCCGCCCCCTCCATATCCGCCTGCCCCCCCTTCACCAGCCGCCCTGTCCGCCGCGCCACCCCCTCCAGCAGCACCGCGACGTCGTTCGTCGGCGGCGAGTACTCCGCGTATAGCGACGGGTCGCGCAGGTTGAGTTGGTAGAGGAGATAGTCCGCCAACGTCTCCGATGGGACGATCCCGTCCTTCACACACCCACATAACGCGAGCTTCAACATCGCCGTCGCGTCGGGGACGTACGGGATGAATACCCCGGGCGTATCCAAGATATATATCCCCCCGCCCCCAAACTCCTCGACCCCCCCTTTTCTCTCGTACCCTCCTCTCTCCTTCTTCTCCCATCCCGCCTCCGCCACCACCCCCCTCGGCCCCCCCTTCGGCATCTCCCCTCCGCCCCACACCTTCACCCCGGTCCCCACCTTCCGCGTCACACCCGGCTGGTCGCCCGTGCGCGCGGCTTTCCCCTTCCCGACGCCGACGCTGCGCAGCGCGTTGAGGAGGGAGGATTTGCCGACATTGGGCATGCCGACGATGAGGACGCGGGCGCCGGCGATGGAGCGGGCGTGCGCGGTGGCGTGGGTGTGGATGGTGGAGAGGAGGGCACGGATGGAGGGGCGGGAGGTGGTGGTGGTGGGGAGGACGGGCGTAGGGTGGTGGAGGGTGCGGAGGAGTTGGTCGCGCTGGGAGATGTTAGTTGGTCGTCCGGAATGAATGGACGCGTGAGGCCATATGACTGGATATTGATAGGATATGATTTCATAAGATGTAAGAAGCAAACCAACTCACCTCTCTCTCCACCTTGCCCCCGCCCCCAACCACCCCCAAATCCCGCTTCGTCAACACCACCACCCGCGCACGCTCCCCCAACGTCTCCTCGAACAGCGGGTTCGTCGACGTCAGCGGCACGCGGTAGTCACGGCACTCGACGATCAGGTCGATGGACGCGAGGAGGGTCTTCATCTTCGTGAGGCCCGCGGCGTGGTGGCCTAGGTAGTAGGAGCGGGGGAGTGAGAGGAGGGGTGGGAAGGTAGGGCGGGGGGTGAAGGGGGGCATAGTAGTGGTGGGTTGGGGGCGGGTAGAGTTGAGGGGTGTGGTAGAGGCTATTTGGGTGTAGGGACGGGGACATGGTGAGGCATTGAGAGAATTGAAAGATGTTGGAGATGGGAGGATGGGGTTAACATTGAAGGTCGAAGATAATATGCGGAATCCAAAAAGTTAGATGGACATTTTTCGAGATGTTCCTCGCGAATGGCACGTGCGTCTATCGCAAGTACCTTGATGGGCTGTGGTTGTCCCCAGACTCCAGGGCATCAATAATTCAAGATCATCCATATATAAAAAGTCACTATTCAATCACAGACAACAATGTTATGCTGAACTCATTCCCATTCAACACATTCCTCCGAATAATCAACCCTCCCCTTAACAACATACACCCATCATCGCTTATGGACCGCTTATTTCCTATCCCATAATCTCATAATTCCATCCCCAGAAAACGCCATGCTCAACCTAATGAATATCCATACGCATATCACTATTTCAAATTTCGTGTGCCCAGAATCCTGTCCCAGAACCCGCTGAACCAAATCCACCCAAACCAAATCCATCTCGCCCGGAAGAGAAAACGATTCGTGATCGGACATATATACCATCCCGCGCCAGCCCCGCCGTGTCACCGGTGAAACGACCGAGGAGAAAAAACGAGTGGAAAAAGAGCAAGTGGAGAGGAAGAGGAGGCAGAAACAAGGCAGAGAAAATCCGCCCGATGAAACGTCCGACTTACAAGCTCCGTATCCACGTCTGCGCGAACGATGAAAAACAGCTCATAGACCACATGAACATCTCGCTCTTTCCGCGCTCCGACGTCGATGTGGAGGTCGAAGTCAGAGATGAGGGAAGCGCGACGGGCGGAGGCGATGGCGAGAAAAACAACCTAAGGGGAAAAACAAACTTTTGACGCATCGCCGCCGGATGGAGAGGAAACGCAAACACAATCGCCATCGCAAACGCATAGCAGAGAGCAGAAGCAGAAAAGCAGACGCAATTACAACCAAGAAACCGAGGTGAAATGTTTCCATAATACAGCCGCCCGTCCCGTCCCTTTTCGTCCGCGACTTTTGCATCGTCCCCATCATCCCTTTTCTCACCGACGGCGGAACGAAGTGAAGTAAAGCAAAGAATACAGAAAAAACCAAAACAAAACGCCATCATCCGCTATCCGCTAATTTTGTCGCTGTTACTTTTCTGCCGGGAGGTGATTTTTTTCAGTGTGTCGTGTCGTCAGGTTAGGATCGATGATTTGCTCCTTCCTTCCCCGGTACTTTTTCTTCCTCGTCAATCTGCATCGTCTACGCGACCAACCATTCCGCTCCACGCATTCATTCATATATTCATAGAACCCTCAAGTGCCGGTGCCGTCACCGAATCGCAGTGCGCCAAGTCACCCAACCAATGGCTGTCGCTCAGTGACCCAACAGCACCGCATCACGCCCCAACAAACCGCGAACGATGAGTAGAAAAGGTCCGCACCCCCATTCCCCAACCCATCTCCCCGCGAAAAGAAGTAATTCTGCACCGGATAAAGCAATGAAGCCCTCCGAAAGAATCAGATCGTGGTGTTCGTGTCCGCCATGCCGCAACCGACCGACCCGACCACCTCACCCACGAATCGCCGTCGGCTGATGATCGCCGAAGAACCCCGAATGCATCCCATGCTGATGATACATCCCTGCAGGGCTTCCCGACCGTGACCCGATTCCCAGGCCATGCATCGGTACGGGCGATCCGGAGCGGGCGAGGAACGACGGGGAGCTGCGCGATGGGGAGGTGGTGCTCGTTGGATAGGGGGGATTGTTGGTCGGGGTGGTTGGGTCGGATTTGGGAGGGGAGCGGGAGTCGGAGGCGCCGTCGAAGGTGGGGGACATGTGGGGGGAGGGGGGCGAGTTACTGCCGGAGGATTGGGCGCTGGTGGGGGCGCTGTGATCAGAGTCGGAGGTGGGAGTGTCGATGGGGTCGGGGAGGTGGTGGGTGATGGCGGTGGGGGGGGTAGTGGTGACGGGAGAGGAGGTGGGAAGGGAGGAGGTAGGGACCGCGGGAACGGGTGCGATTGGTGCGGTGTTGGGAGAGGAGGGTTTGCCGGAGCCGAACTGTGGGGGAAGGTCAGTATCCTATCCGACAGGGGAGGCCTGGACGACGAGGAAGAGGACTGGAGAGGGGGGACGGTAGGTGAGTCCATGGGAAGGTAGATGAAGTCTCTCAATACATCCTCGTCGCGGGGGGTGTACGTACGAAGCAATATTTCTGGATCAACTCATTGTATTCGGCCGACTGAAGGTCCGGTTTCTCCGATGACAGCGTGTCCGGCCGTCCACGTCCGCGTCCCCGGTCCGGTACCCCTCCCACCGCCTTCGTGTCGAGGATGCGACGTTGCTGCTCTGGAGATACCGACGAAGTCGGTGCTCCTTGGGTCGCTTTCCCTTTCGGTTGGATCCCGCTTCGATCCCCTATGGCCGACTGTGCATTCGACAATGCCGCCGATAAGCTTGCCGAGAAGTCATATCGGTTGGAGAAGCCGTGCTGCGAGGGGTTGGCACGTCGACGTGCATCGTCCGGGAGGAAACCAGCTTTTCGAGGCTTGCCCTTGAGTCGCAACACCGCAGCATTCGGTGCGTCGTTGAAGGAACCGAATTCGGACATGTTATCAAACTTAGAACCGAAGTCATCGTCGATATTCCGTGCGGTAGGGAAGCTGTAGGGGCGTTGTGTGGTCGCCGAAGCAGGCGAATGGCGACTGCGAGGAATGGCACCAAGAGAGCCGGACACTGGAGCCCCCTTTTTGGCTTTGGACTTTGGAGGGGAAACCGGCTTGCGGGTGAAATCGATGGAATAGTTCATCTTGTTGTTGTTATCCCAGAACTCCTGATCATTGACGGTATACCGGATGCAGAGGAGCATGGTTTTCGATTCGAGATTGGCTTGGTCAGAGAGCTTGATGTTGAAGTTGAAGCGATCATACCCGTCGTCGTATTTTCGACGCACATCGTTGTTAAACTCCGCGACGACCTCCGACGTGGTCTTCCAGTAGTCGAGAGTGAACCGGCAGACCACGAATTTGTTAAACGCGAGGTTTGCAACGGCGACCACACCGACTAGCATCTTGGAGTCGCTGGACAAGAAAATCTTTTCGCACCACACGGGTTGTGTTCGCCTCTCCATCGTATCCCGGGGCCAGTTCACCAGGCGGATCTCGTACTCGTATGTTTTCGGTCGCGACCCCCCTTCCGAGAAAAACGGATATTCTGCATCGCTCTCGTACATCTCGACAGGCGATGAACCAGCACTGACTGCGATTGGACGATCGATTTGAAGGAAATGTCGGACCTGCTCAATATTATCGTTGAAGTGGACCGCTTTGGAGAAGGTGGGAGTGCCCGGCATGCTCGATGGACGCCGATGAGAAGCAGGCCTCAACGCCGGCTTGACCAGTTCACCAGACTTTTTGCGGATGAGCGGGGGCTTGACCGACATGTCTTCCTCGCTGTCGTCGGTGCTATGGATCAGGGAGTCGGGGATGTTGGTGACCAAGCTGGAGAGGGCCAGTTCGCTCGATGACCGCGAATGAGAGATCTTCCGAGCCTCAGGAGTCAAGGCTGGTCTCGGTGGTCGTTTGACCGGCGATCCTGAGGGCGACTTTACGCTGCCATCAGTCCCGCGGTCCGGGGAGGGATCCCGACGCTGAGGAATGTCCGCAAGAGCATGATGAAGCTCGGCGAGACTCTTGAGGCCCCGTCGATCCTCCTCATCGGAGCTGTGTGGGTCCCCGGATGCCATGTTTGAGCGAATGAGCTTGCCATTGGCAGCGGTTGGGCCGAGAGACCGGGTACCAGCTCTCGATGAGCTCGACCAGACCGACCCATTCATAGCTGCCTTATTTCCATCGTTGTGGTCGGATATGGAGGGGGTTCGTCGGTGTTTCTGGAGGTAGGAAGTCGAGGTGACGGATCGGGGGAGGTGTGGTCGCTTGTGCTGCTCCTGTGGCGACAGAGCGTCCGGAGAGATATAGGAGTTATTTCGGCTGATAGTGGGACTGTTGGATTTTGACGAGGAAGGCGATCGATGAGAAGGTGGAGTGTAAGGCATGTCCTCCACTTTACACGTCGACAGGAGGATTATGATCGAAGTGGACCGGACAGCATTACAAAATGGATAATGCACGAAAAACCCGAGGTCCTGTCAAGAAGGGAGCAGTTAGCTTGCTGATTTTGGTGTATAGTGAGTAATAGGTGAGAAGGGAAAGGTCTGATGAGTGGGAGATCTCAGAGCAACGCCCGACCGACGTCATCACTAACTGATCGAAAGATAATGAGTTTGAGCCAGTCCCAGCCGTGACAACCGATTCAAGCAATGTGTGCTCCTCAATTGGCCCGTGAAGACGGGTTTCATGAGGCCAAGTCCACCACCGAATGACAATCTCAACAACCACGCGTGGGGGTCGACTTCGAGGTCCAAGCTGGAACAACGGAGACGAGGCAATGCACACGGAGGACCAAGGCTGAGGCTAACAAGAATAATATGGGATACAGGAGTATAGGGTCGAAGGGAAGTGAGTGAGGTGTATACACACAGGCGATGCCTGGTGAGTCGCCGGAGTGTGTATCAGGGAAGCGGAACAGTGTGGAAGGAAAGAGCGATTCGATGTTGGTCATCAACGGCTCGATCGGACGAAGGAAGGAAGGTCGTACCTACCGGTGATGAAGACAGAGACAGAGAAATAAATCTCTCCCGTGGTCGAAGGATGTCGTCGAAGGACTGACAAGGTAACCAGACCGAAAGACAGCAAGAGGTTGCTGTTCTATAACGGTGGGTGAGTGGTGATATGGTCGAACAATATATCGAACGGCAGCGGAGGCCTCGATTCCGGTGGAGGGCAAGTATTAATGTCGGGAGGAGAGAGCGGATACGTCGGGAGGGGAAGAAAGGAACTCAATCTTTCTTTGGATGACGAAGAGAAAGAGGGGCCTCGCTCGTATGATAATCTCGAGCAACCAAACCAGGATTGATACAGAGGAGAGGAGGAGGGAGGAGTAGTGGGTAAAGAGGAGTAGGTGGGATTCTTGAGGGCGGCGAGATTGGGTGAGAGTCGAGAGGCACAGAGGCGTCAGTGTGCAATGGCCCGGGAATTTTGGTGAGGATGATTGATGTCTTTTTGGTGGGTCTTTGAGGGGGCAAATAAGGCAATTCAGTGCATTCACACAATTGGTGAGGAGAACAAGGATGCGATCATCGATGGTCCAGGGCCTTTCCAGGGATGTTTAGGCGCTTGGCCGGTGCCGCTCGTTCTCTAAATCCTCAACCATATCTCTCTCATGCCACCCGGGAGGCTAATTGATAATGCTACCAGTACCTGTTTCCCTTCTCCCAGGTTAGATAGACAGATACCGGATTAACTAGATAAATGGATCATGCTACAAATCCGTGGCCGATCGTAAGATCGTCGACAAAATCTCTTCTTGGATCTGCCTTTTCTTTCGTAATGGTGCCTCAAATCCCCCGATTTTCGATTGAAGAGGAGAAGGTGCTCGTCTCGTGTAATGGTGACATTTGGACGACCGTTGAAAACGGGGAACTCAATGTCGGGTTCAGGGCAGCACACGCGCACACACCATAAAAGTTGGTCTAGCCGTCTAGCCAGTGTCGGTGGTGGGAGACAGCGCGTGGGTCGAGACTTCTTCCTTCTTGTCTCTTCTATCTCAGTTCTCAGTTCTCATTTTCACCCTCTCTATTAGTTTCCTAGTGTCTGGCAGGGCTTAGAGCCCCCCTTGGCTGCCGTGTTCGCGTTGTTGGGTAAACGGGTTGCTGCAAGTGGCGTTCGAGGTCGGCGAAAGGAAAATACTTGGCGGGGGGCCCTGGACGCTCGTCAACTGCTGGGGCAGCGGTGGGCTGCGCTAAAAGAGGGGCTATTCCATCAAAGTTGGTGCTAGGATTACCGCCCGGTGGTAGGTATCATGGGAATGTTAACTTGCAGATGTGCGGCATTGGCAGGAATATGCAGAAGAGTGAGTCTGCATGAGTAGGTGCAATTTGCATCGATATTTGCATCGATTATGGGTAGGTATTGCTTGCTTGTTGACTTGGCTTACCTGTGCTCGAGTTGTGAGTAGTGACTTTTGTCGATGTGCCAATGTCAAAGGCGAAAGACGCAAGAAGACGCCGTCCGCAGCAGCGATGCTGCACCCAAGGGAGACGAGACCGAATTCAACGGGAACGGTCCAGTCTTCAACTGCAATTGATGAGTTTCCCACCAAGCGCAGGCCTCCCCTGGACCATACACCATTCCATGCCCAACAGTTCGAGCCCATCGCCAATGTTCCATCCGAATCCTTTGTCCTCGATACATCCACTACTCTAAAGATACAACTCTCGACATTCGGAAATCTAAATGTCACTACCCATTTTCTGATCGAGGACAAAGTCAACAATGAACAAATACGATAATATCTGCAAAGTAGTCATCCCGCCCCATTCCGCCGCATCCTGCTCGCCCGCTATGACCATTCCCAACTGAAACTCCCTTCTAAAAGCAATTGACATCCGCTTTTCCCGTCTGTAACGCGAAGAGGAAGTCTGATGACATGATCGTACGTCAAAACCAAAAATCCTTGGGGAACATTCCAACGCTTGGACTCTGCGCCTTGGGATCCCGTTTCATCCAAGTATCCATCCCACCCGGTCGAATCATCGCGTTCGATCCCATCGTCCTAAAGTGATAAATGCACGAAATGATAGCAAGAATAGCCTACTGAGATCCAAAACGTCGTGGCTTGCCGATTCTATAGCCAATTCGCATCCCTATCGGTATCTTAATCAATTCGTCATATGTATCGCACCATTCCCGCCAGGCCGCCACCCAGTCATTCCACATCGGCGTGGATCGTGAGCGGGTACAATCAGCCCATGTCGGTCGAATTCCCCGCCTATCTCAGATCACTCAACATCACCTAATAAATTAATATAAGGTACGGAATACGTAACTGATATCTACGTATCTCCATCACCAGCCCCATCACCAACCGGATAAATCAACCCTCCCCAGTCCCCACCGCATCTCCGGACCATGTCCCTGAGCCGCAACCCCAAAGCCTATCACCAACTCAACCCAACGGAACCTCCGCTCGCTCCCGTTCCCAATTCCATCATTAATTCCTCAAATCAACACTTCAGTCTTCACCTTTACCTTCCCAATTCCATCCATACCCACCCATCCGCACCACCACGCCGTGTACCACCGCCCACCAACTGAAGCGGTCGTGTAACCGCCCCGCCGTGGGATCCCGGCGCTGGGCGTCCCGTGCGGAACACCGAACACGGGCGTCTGGCCGGTACCTATGGAGTAGGGAGTCGGAAATTGGGACGGGAGGGAGGGCGTCCTAGACCCTCTTTGCCGGTTAGTTTAGGCGGGCGGGCCGGGTGGGTCGGGGGCCTGGGGACGGGCGGTTGCTGGATCGGGGAGGTACCGTGGGTTTGGGGGCTCGTTTTGGTTGGTGAAGAAACGTCGGGGAGGGAATGGATAAACCGTAAAGGAGGTAGAGCTATTGATGCATTGTGCGATGCGGTGGAAGGGTGTGCTGAGATTCGCCCGAGAGGCGGAATGAGAGGAGTGGCGCGGCCTAAGGATTTTTGGATAGGCTAACCTATCGTGACTTTGTGATGATGGGGAGCCGTGACTGTAGAGCAGCTGAGCGACCTCTGCAGTATTCGTGCAAGACGATAATTAAGGTTGGGTTTATTTGACCATGTCCCGAATCTTTCATACGGATCTCTTCTCTCTTTCTGAATCCTCCAGTACCTAGCCAAATTGACCTCTACTCCGTTTCCATCTCGCAGCGCTTTCGCATCCCGAAAGAACCTCCTTCAGATCATCCCCAAGTACCAATATACGAGCAATACGGCGCTGCCCCCCCGTGCCTAAACCTGCAGTCATCACCCCGTACAAGTAAAGTCAAGCACATCACCTGCCCACTCGTACCCCGTCCCCCCATCTCCGTGTCCCATCCTCATCTCTCCCAGCGCGGTGCACAAGTCACTATCCCTAATGCCGTGAGATCGCCATTCATTCCGTACACCTCCGCCGCATCACGACGTGCAGAAAAACCTAACCTGCGATCGTGACAACCGATTCCAGAACCGACAAGACAAATGCATTCCTGCGATGACTGACGACTGATGACTGATGAGTGCGATCCGGTCGTGCTCGATCGCACCAACGCAACGAACTACTGAGCGCTACGCGCTTGTGATGGCTTGTCACTGGACCATGACGCGATGCGCCCACTGCGCGCGTCGTTCGGAATCCCGTCCAATCGACCATCGGCGCGGCGGGAACGGGAGTCGCCGATGATGTCATGTCGCTGCCCGCCGCAATTTCTGGCGTGGGATTTATGGGGACGAGGTTCTGGCTCGCGCCACAGTTCGTGATTCTGGAGTTCGAGAATCTGTTGAGCGTCGCCATGGTTTCAAACTTTCAATTGAATCCTCTTGATGAATCTTGCACATCCACGATCAACAGCGCCAGATACCAGATCTCGAACTGATCTGTGCCTCGCCATTTCACCGCAATGAGGCGCAATCGCCCGCCATCTATCACGGATCTCGCCTCTCTGGTGTCTGGGTTCCTTCCTCCTCACTCTCAACCCTCAAGTCATTAGCCCTCAACCGAATTGAATTAAGTTAAGGCGTTCGCTACCTATTTTAGTGAGACGCCAGCGCTAAGGTACTACTCCACCCCGGCCCACTGTCCAGCCACCAAATCCCAATCCACATGGATAAATTCGACAATGGCACCAGCGAAATAAGCGAGCGGCGAAAGCGAGTTCGCCGTTCGGCCTTAGGGCGGTCCCACAGCGGCAGCCAAGCTGGGTGCGGTGCATGGATGATTTTTGCCAGTTGCACGAACTGTCGCTGTTGATATCTGATAGGTAAATGTTAGAAGCGTTACATAACGTCGCGTTCGGACTTCAGCAGGTCAGGATTCGGCTCAAGGAATTCTTCAGACAGGAGATGCGAGCGCTGGACGATTCAAAGAATTACCCGGCGGAGAAGTATTGGCTTTAGCCGCCTGTGCTCGTGAGGACCGCGCTGTAAAATGGATCCCGTATCCCGTTCCGTGTCTCACATTCTTCACCGCACCGTGATTCCCGTCCTCGTAAAAAGCAACATCTGGATGCCTCTCCTCACTTAGGTACTCAGTTATATTGCCACCGCCCCCCACCACGTTTTGGAACGGGAAACAAGCGGTGACAAGAGCCGCGAACCAATGGCGTCCTCATCGAACTTCAGATTTGCTGGACGATAAGGCAAATAGGGATGGGGGAGGGGATGCCAATTTCCCATGATTGCTGACGTGCAGAATAAGAGGGCGCGGGGGCGGGGCATCCGATGGGGGACGATGCTGGGACGGGGCCGGCAGATTTGAGGTTGGGGAAGCTGACTAACTACTTCCATATTACCTTGAAATCCAGGCCGGCAGTCTTCGAACATCAAATATCGAGTGGTGTTGATGGATGGACAGAGCTGTCAGCCGTCAATGTCAGGTGTGATCGATCGCCGTTCTGTGCACCACCCATCGACACATCGACAAACGATCGGAGATGGTTCCTGATCTCCATCACCCTTCGCTACCTCCGAACCACGCCTGACAAAAAGCCGACCCTGAGATCGTCCAGATCTTCCGAGATGCGACCACCGCCGTGGTCGAAGGTCTGCTGAGGGTTTGGAGATATCGTTCGGATGCGTGACGGGTTGACGGTGACACCAATGCTGTGCTGACGCATGGCGCCTGGCAGGTGGTTGAGATACCATACACGGGCTGTGGGGAAACCGGTTTGGGGAGGACGGTGCAGTCGGGTCGGTGATCACTGAATGCAGTGCGAGCAGTGCCCCAGGCCAGTCAGCCTTCAGGTCCACCGAATGCTAGAGAAGTATTGTATGAAGATTGAAGTGGGAGTTCTGCCCCGTCCAGCGTGCATCTTCGTGCATCTACAGACTCGCTACACCCCGTATTTCGCCTCCCATACTACCCTCGTCGACCACACGCCGTGGAACGATGCTTGGACAACCACTGACAGTGTTGAACCACCGCGTTGTCCAATGGTATACAGACGTAAGACGAGACAAAGGAGGGAACAACCGTTCATTAACTTGCCAAACCCTGCAGTGCCAGACTACAGTGCCTGTCAGGGGGTACGAGACGCCCTGCCATGTGGACTGGCCTAGTTATACAGGTCGCACTGACTTGTATCGGCAGACCACCACCAATCCGTGCCATTCGCCATCCATCAGTCACCTGCCCTTCCACTTCGCAGCACCATCCCCCGTCGCTCAGCATGCCACCATCTCTCCTCCGCCGCCGCTGTAAAGTACTTAGTTCGAGCCGCAGCACTCCCGACATGCATCCCGTCCGCCCGCCTGCAACGACCATCGTGACCATGAAGCCCACCAGTCACGCATGTCAGAAAAATGCGGAAATGTGACCACGCTGCGCTCCGCGGAGGGGAATCCAGTTGTTTCCAGTGGCTATGGTCGGGGGTTGGCTCACCTTAGATGGAGCTGTCTGGCTGCATTTCTAGTTACGCAAAAGGAAGCTCGCAAGAAGTCTCGTGATTCGGGGGGGGGGGGGTGTGCATGGAATAGGTTCAGAGGATCACGAGATGAAAGCACTAGATAGAGGTTACTGGTGGGGATGTTGGGTGAGGAGCCGAGGAAAGATGGGAATTCGGGCATTTGGACATGATGGAGGATCTTCTATCAAGTGCGGCATGAGTAGCTAGATACCTTAGTTTTGAATCTGCATGTCGACTGTTGAGCCTTTGCGTCCAGGATTTCTTGATTCTTTATATTGTCTACATTACCAGCGAGTCAGGGTATATCCTAGTGCCGACAAAACACAAGTCCGTTCTTACTAGCCACAGGTAAACTGAGCCGCATCTTGATGAATGACGTACATGGTACATAGCATTGGCTATGGAGCCGCCGACGCCAGACGAGCTATCCCGCTTTCCGCGCCGGTTAAACTTCCAATTTCTAAATGACCGATTGCGCATACGTTCTGGCGATCGCCACGTCCAGTCACGCGTAGCGTGGGGTGGTAACCGCATTGGGAAGTTGGGCCGTGAAAATTGAAAGATGGGATTCCCTAGCCTGGGATGGGAAATTTTGAATTTCTGGATCTTGGTTGGCCCGCTATTAGGTAGTGCTTTGAGCCCAATATCAAAATCCAAAGGTTCCCAGTTCCCACTGCTAGTTCTGCCATTCATTGCCTAATGCGGTAATCAACCTTATCGCATCAGTTCCGTCGAGTCGAGTCGAGGCGTCTGTTCTACTTATTGGCCGAGCCTTTCTTTGCCAAGCACCCGTCTGAATGCGGGGTGGGGTCGCATAAAAAAGCAGCGAGAGAAAGAGCTCCCTTTGCAGTTGCCCCGCCTGTTCACAGGAAAAATGGCCCCTTGCCATGAAAAATTGCAGTAATTTGGGGTACATGTTAAGTATCTGAGACACCAACCGAGATATCGCGGAGGCCGGAAAGCACTGCAATGTCTCGCACAAGTCGCAGCGACTGGGCTCAGAACCGAGCCTCAACTCCGTTTGATAAAGGCGGAGATGTCCGCCGAAGGATCGAGACCAGGGAAATTCCGCGTCCAATGGATTTTCGACTTTCGAGCCGATAAAGCTATCAGTTTTCTGCCAATTCCCATGCTGAACTCCCAAGTCCCATGGCTTTTGGTAGGCAGGGATGTCCTGCATCCCGCCCTCCAGAACGTGTTTTGTCCAGGACGCACTGGATTGGCACACCGCCAGCTGCGGGCCGTGGCTGGTTGATTGGTATTGAGTTTGTAAAGTTCATGAATCATGAGAGACGCTTCGAAAAAGCAAAGGCAAGGCAAGGAGGGTTTGGTCAGTTTCGGTTGTCGTCATGTAACGGCCATATGAGAACATCTCAAAGGTACCATCCGATCTCCTGGGGTATTTTTCGGTCCGAGATCGTATGATCCGATGAATGATTTATAATTGGTGTCGATTAACGCCTCGAGCCTTAAAACTGATATATTTTCCAGCTATCCTTGAAACTCGATCGCTTAAACCAGCTGAAAAGTACATGCCCGATAATAACCAAGAGTGCTTGAAGAAACAAGGTGTCTATCTCCGCGGGGCTTCATTAAGTATACCTTGGTTACCGCCCTGATACAACAGCTAGAACCAGGGTTCGAGACCATCAGATATTAGCCTCCATTGCCGATTCTCCGAACGTGTCTCTTAAACATATCTTGAAGACAATAGCTTCACATGACATCGGCTGCAGTTGTCTCTGTTGAGAACCAAGCCATTCGGATCAGCCGGATCGGCCAGCAAAGCGTTCCAATTTCGATGCCCGTCTCTTCCTGCTCCGCTGCATCAACGGGAAATTGCCATCCCGTCGGAAAACGAACGCTTACTGTCGTGCAACCATCCTCAGAGGCTTTGAATGGATTTCAACGCGTGGAGAAGATGCTGGAAACTGGGGTGCAGCGATCGCGAGAAGCCATTCACCGGTTCTCTTGATGATGTGCGTCGAAAGATGGAAAGCCAAGATGGACATGCAGGGCTGGATTTGCTATTGCTTGGCCCATTTTCGAGGGATGAGGATGTTGACTTGCGCTTGTGTCAAATGTCAATACTAATCTTCGGGCGCTAGCAGCTATAATAGTCCGTCTTGATCTAGTGAGAACGTTCGTGTCAATAATTCTATCGCGGCTCTGTTCGGATGCCGAGCGTCTAGAACGAGTCAACTCATCGCGATAGGAACTCGGTCTGGAACATATACAACACGCCCTGATCGTCGACTACGCCCTTCTACCCTCCCACCTTAGTTGCCGTTGCGGACCGTTTCGCCCACCCTGGCGCTTCACCAGAGCCGGTGAGGTGGCGATATGCGGACTAGGGTTGCCTTATCTCTGCCCGACAAAACCTGGGTAAACAGCAGGCTCATATCAGCGCCAACACTCGCTACGGATGCCAGCTGGTTAGTCGCCTTTAATCCATGGCCAAGTAAGTTTGCGAAGGTGTCCATGAGGGTCGGCATATCGAACTTCTTGTTTAGTAGGCCCCGGATGCAATGGAGAACTACGAGGCAAGGGTAACGGAAAGCTGCCTCGAGCCACAAAGTTTGGCGCCTGGGTGTGCTAATTAAATGCCGTAGCCATTAGAAATCAATATCCAGGGCTCTGGGGATAAATATGCGACATCAAATAGTGGGCTCGAACGCAACGAAACTCGGTAGAACGGAGGATCAATGTCGGACATTAAAGACGGACTCTCAACAAATTGTAACACGGCATTTAATTGGAGAAACCACAACTGCAGGTGCAAGGCCAGCTTCTAAGCCGTTCATGCACTACGTTCTACCGTGCTTGAGTGAGTACAATTATCACTCAATCGCTACGCCGCAAAGACCTACCCCTCGAAACTCATTTGAAGCAAAGCGCCAAACGCCGCGAGAAGGCCAAGACTCGCAGCTGGGTTCTCCTCAATGATTGCGCTATTGGTTGATAGGAATTGGATCCGTGGAGCACGAGACAATAGCCTTGTAGCATGTACGTAGTTCGCCGTGCGCCTTCCCCTGTATTGCAGATGCTCCCCAGACTCCAGACCCTCGTGCAGATGTGGAGCGTCGTCAAATGCCACCGTAGACCGTACGCTCGTTCGCGGAGTCTGGAGATGTGAGTGGAGACGTGGATTGGTTGAGGAGAAATCTTCTCGCATGTGTGCTGCCATCGTCAGTTGTGAGCCGCCACCGGTTGTGTTGCAGCGCACGATGGAACGTTGTGTAATTCGCTTCTCCATTAATTGCTTCCCCGACGGTCTGGATGAGTAGTCAATGTGGAACCCTAAGGATTCGTCTCGTTGGCATATGTGCTGGGGTATAACTCTGCCCTCTTGAGTGCCTAGAATAGCCTTCAGACTTAAGACAGGAGTATCGATACAAGTGATGAGTATGAGGGAGCCTGAGGCTACTTCGAGGTACAGGGACGAGCTCTGATACTTCAGTACATCTTCACGTTCATGATGCTGGATGCGGAGAAGCGGACATTTGCTTAATTGGCTTCATAATCAATCTCGTCTTGTGTTCCGCAAGTCGGCACATGACGAAGAGCTCATTTTCATAGCGAATATATAAATTTTATAAAGGTGATGAAGTCAAAAGAGACTTGACCAGTAGTTGTACCTCCACGTGACCATCCATAGTACCTCTAATCGAAGCTATCCGCTATCGTGATTGGCTGACTAACGCCATTGCTACCTTTCGGGAAATTTGTGTTGAAGTTGAGGATGAGACACCAAGATCGATCTACAATTGTCCACGCCATATCAAACAGCTCGCGACAGCTCAACGGTATATCGTCTTCCCCAAGCATCTGTTGATCATCTCAACTGACAGAGTTTCCAGAAACCTCACGACAATCCTTCCAGTTCGCACCAGCCTCCCATCTACAACCATCGTTATGGCACCCTCGAGAGCACTCCTACGCATCCCAACATACCTTTCCCCGCATTTACATTGTATCCGCATGACTTCATCGATACGAAGGCCGACATATTCGCAACCCCTCCTCACTGTCCCAACGACGCATATTAGGATCCCTCAACAACAGGGGCGGAGGCAGCTGTCAACGGAAGCAAGTGCGGGGTCCGGACCAGCGCCTCCAGATTACCTCTCTGAAGCGGAGTTGAAGATATTCAATAAGCTCAAGGACACATTATCTCCGGAGAATCTAGTGGTATGTCAGGGGCTGCCATTCCTGCCAAAAACTTCCTTAAACTATAAGTGTGGAATGCTCCCGGAAGGGTTCATGTTCATGAGAAGGTCTATGACTAACGTGTGTTAAGGTTCAAGATATAAGTGGTGGCTGTGGCTCAATGTATGCACTGGACATAGCTTCGCCCAAGTTCAAAGGCTTGACAATGATCAAACAACATCGACTGGTGAACGAGATCTTGGGGGAAGAAATTAAGCAGTGGCATGGCGTGCAATTGCGGACGAGAGCACCCTGAGGGAGGGAATGAACATCCCCAGATGCTGTGCTTGATGTCGGGCGCCTTTGAAATTCCACTCTGGCTAACGGGATACGTAGACGGACGTTGTACGATAGAGACTGTGTGGAAGATGTTCTCCAAGATACCCTTGCGACTGCATATAGCATCTATGACACTAAAATACGAAGTACGCCTCCAGCGTATAATCCATGAAAGCCACTTTACAAAACAAAAGTCTATCTTGTGTCGATGCCTCAGTATACACCCGATAGAGAAGGGCTTATATACGCAAATCAAGAGGCGAGGACGATCCCATCCAGGATACTGTGGCGAAAAAGAACTCGATGGCTAACCATAAACTCTCACCAGTCAGATACGTTGAATCGTGTTTTGTCAAGAGTTATCAGACTGGCGGTGCCATGCCCACAAACCCGCAATGGACACACAATACTGTTGTCCCGATGCTGAACTTTGAACTCTTGAACGCATTCTTCATGGCCATGAGGTATGAATAAGGGCAATTACACATAGAAATCCTATGGCCCCTTGAAATTTGTAAGCCATTGAAAGCAGGGGACATGTAGTCTTGGAGGCTTTTGCTGAGATTGTTACAGATTCACTATAAGCAAGCCTGCTGAGTGAAGAACTGGTGGCGTACTTCGAGCACTGGCGAAGTGCTATACTCGCTGATTCCAGTCCGACTAATCCAAATCACCTATTATTCTGTACTTCTTCAGAATCGTGGGAGTATACTTTATGATATCAGCACACAGTCGTGTATTGTCAAAGAGCAATGTCCTTCGGGCTAATTCTGGGCTCTGGAAGGTTGAAGATGTGGCTATGGAGACATCCCGTTGGTGGACTGAAGTCTTTTTGGAACATTTAGAGAAGCCTGAGGCCCTACTGCAACTTCAACGAAGTAGAAAGGCGGAGCATTACGAGCGAGAATAGTTGGTTTACTGGGGCCTTGGAAACAGGGGGCGAGATGATGAATCATGTCACCCAGCTGGGTTTGTCGAGAAATAGCAGTCTAGAGCGTTTAAAATCCTCAGATGCTAATCCTAACCGCCACCGGGTTCAGTAAGCTGACGAGAATCAAACATCTAGAACCGTAGAGCCATAGGTCAATCACGATGCAACCGGAACCTAAAGACCGACCAGGCCTGGATGACCTTTGGGGACATCGGCAACGATGATTGATTCAATACATGATCAAGCGGCCACAGATAGCGGCACTGACGTGTTGACAAATATCGATTTTATGAGCCCCGAATGTTCCCCCGATACTGAAATCACATTATCTAACTGTTAACTTTTGTGTAAGGCCCTATAGCCATTGCCTTTGCCATACCGCCATGAATCGTGACGTTGGGCCGTATCCTATACCCTCTAACTAGAGGCTGCTGCCTGATATTTCACAAATGTGTGAATATGAACTTTCCGTCGATACTATACATGATGTACGTCTCTGATATACGCCGCTGCCGTGGTGTGTGAAGGGGAAATGAAATCCCCATGATTCTTTTGTGTGGTGTTAGTGATTTGTATCACCCTCGTGGCCCATGATCGCTGGCTGAAAGAAGATTTCTAGGCATGTCCCCACGTAGAAGGGCTGGTGGGATATTCTTCCTCTGAGACCCACACGGTCACCCGGATATTCTGGTCATTGAACACGGTGCCGGATCGTTTGAACAGGGACGATCCATCGCTTAGTTCTTGAATATGGTCGGCGAGGTCCTGGTGGACCTGGCGGTGCCGCAACACCTCGTCGATCTTCATAGAATTCGCGTTCGTGGTGAGGTTGAGGAAGACCATTCCAGCCTCTTCGTTTGCACCAGCCATGCTTTGGTAGAAACGATGAGTTGCCGGCCCGATCGTTTGAAAGACGTGTTCATAGTCTTCGGTGGTCTCGGCGCAGACGGTCTTCTTCCACACCATGAAGAGCCGCATGGAGGTGGGGAAGGAGGGGGGTTGGAGGAGGACGAGGTTGCTCTTGACTTTGATTCTGTGACAGGGCTTGTCGGTTCGGATAATTTTAACTTCGACGGCAGGATTCTGGTTGGCGCACCGATAAAAGTACTCAGAGCAATCGCTGGAATGGGGGATCAGCCGGCCGACTTTGAGTTCTTCACGGGCAGCCTCGAGGGCATTCAGGAGAGAATTATATTCTTCTTCAATCTGGACCCACTCACTATATTTGTTGCCAGTCCATTTCCGACTGTGAACGAAATATGAGAAAGCTTCGCCGGTTGAAGAAATAGGCGAACTGGGGGGGCAATCAGTATCGCTCTCTTCATCACTGTCGCACTCCGCGATTTTCTCTTCCAGAAACCGAACCCATGCAGGATTGCTGAGGGACTTGCAGCCAGTGGTGGGTCGAAGATCTACCTCCTCATCAGCACGCTGTTTGCCTTTGACATTCTGAAGCGCACTAGGAACGGACTTTCTGCCGTAGGAGGGAGCACGGGAGCCAGGGACACGTTTGCCCGCGAATCCAGGGATATGCTTGACTGCTAATCCTCGTGCCGGGTGGGAGAAGTTGCCCTCAGAGTCGGACCCGGACGCGGTCTCGCCGTCGCCATCGGCGGAATCATCTTCAAAGTCATCTTCGGAGTCAGAGGACGAGGCGCTTGCACCGTCGCTTGGGCTTGATTCTGGGGATTCTTCACTCTCGGATTGCTCGGATTGGGCGTTGACATGTTCAGAACCATTATGCCTGTCATAGGGGCGAAAATTGTCCATTTGTTGGTCCAGCTCCTCTGTATGAGGTGCGACCTCCTCCGCATCTGACTGCTCTTCATCCGAGGACTCATCCTCAACATTGTCAACCACGCGTAAGTCTCCCCCCGCATTGACATCAGAGCCCGTGCCGCTTGATTTTCCATTGACAAGCGCTCCGGAACCAATGTCCCTTGCCATGGGAGCAACAGGCGCGCCCGAATTCGGAGCCTTTCCCCCGGGAACAATGGGCATCTGATGGAGCGGTGTGGTCCCGTTCTCAATGTAGACCCAGACACCACTGTACTGGGCATTGAAGACCCGATCCCCTATCGCCCCGTTCAACAGCTTCTTGGTCCGCACATGGCGCTGCTGAATCCCACCGGCCGTCAAGTTGTGCCCAAACGCCTTGTACTTCTCCGTGCAGACGCGCCACTTGAGCTTCTCGTCGTCACGCCACTTAACCAACTCGAGGTCGGCAAGCAAGATGGTGTAGACGCGAGGCTTGTTTTTTTGGGCTCGGACCGCGCCGCCAGGTACTCGTGGGCCCTTGTTCTTTGAGCCCTTCGGACGGCCACGCTTGCGCTTTTTGGGAGGGGGTCCAGTCGTGTCGGGGGTTGTGTTGGGCGGCAACTTCTTATGACCGGGCGCGCTAACTTTCTTGCCTGAGATTGCTCTGGACGACGCGGGACCTGGGTCTCCATTAGCCGCCAGGTGAGCATCAGCAGCATCAGCGATGTCGCTTGGAGGAGAGGACGGCGCGGTGGATTGGGATGTTTGGCCCGCGGTAGACTGGCCGGGAGAACCATTGGCCGAGCCTGCAGTCTCGGTGCTAGCGTCTGAGGCGTCGGAATGAACGGACGAATAGGCATGACTGTCTTGGATTGGAGAATGCGGCTGACGGTAGAACTGGGTGTCCCGTGGATCCACGAATTGACTTGGTCCTGTTGTTCTGTCAGTGAGAGTCCTATCAAATCTTGTGCTTGAATGTTGGTGGTATGTTGTTCTTGTCATTCTGTAACAATGTCTGGTCCGATCGGCTAACACGTAGGAGGCAACAGGGTTATAGAAAGTCTGAATACATATTGCAACCGGGTTTCAAAGTGGTAGTAGATTTCCTAGAAAACTTACCAGAATCCACAGCGCCACCACCAAGCTGGGGGTCGATATTCATCGCCCAGTCCATGGTGATGGCAGGTGCAGCATATGCACTGGCACCTTTCGTCGTATCAGGGGCACCAATATGATCGAAAATTCTCAGAGCGCTGCCGTCGTGCTCAGGGAGGACCCCCAAATCACCGAAGCCCATGGGGTCATAGTACTGAACACCACTGTTCGCGTCGAGCATATTAGGGAATGAGTAGCCCATGAACGGGTTGAATGCAACGACACTAACGCCCGAAGAACTGTACAGTTGGTAATCTGAATTACAATAGAGAGAATAGGGGTCAATTACCTCGTAGCCACTGCAGTATTAGCCACTTGGGTACTGACGTTGCCTGGTAGGGCATGCTGGTGATTTTTTGCAATAAGGAAGTTCCTCAATGCTTCGGCATGCCCAGCAAGCTGAGGTGCGCTCATCCCGACCCCATTCGACGATTGTTCCAGATTGACAAGATCGCCGTCATGGTCATGAGGGTCAAGGCGAACCTTCTTCGTAGGGGAGGAAGACTCATGCACGTCGGCTTTTCGCTTCCCAGCCTGGTTGGCGCTCAGGGTATGCTCAGAAACGGAGAGCTCTGGGGCGATAGGACGAGATCCAATGGGATCAGCGGGAACGGTGCTGCTGGAACCAGTGCTTTGGATCGGTCAGCGAGATTGCCGACGATGATATAAAGTAACTTACCTTTCCAAACGAGGAGTCACGACCATCTCCAGTGATCCTATAGACGACATCATCGTGGCTACGAATAATGAATAGGAATGAGAAGAGAGAAAGACTGTGACGGATATGGATAGACTTGGACTGACAATGTGGGAAAGCGGCCCGGGGAGTATCTGGTAACTTGGCGTGAAGGGATAGTCTTGTGTGGGATTATAGTCCTGTGTGGGATACCTTGACAGTGATCGCCTTGGATGTCGGCTGTTAGAAAACGATGGACGAGTTATCCAAGCAATACTTGGTCCCAGAGTGCTTGAAGAGATTGGTAGGATATAATCCGGAGGAACTGCTGCTCGTGGTCGTGCGGGAGGCCCGGTGGTGGGAACAGTGGTCCCCCTCGTGGACTCTAGAAGACTGAGACTGTGAGGATGATGTTCTGATTTTGAGTGCCTTGAACGATCGCATGATAGGAATACCGAAGACGTGTCTGTGTGAATAGCGACAGTTCTGCGGAAGAAAGAATTGATGCACAGGAAATGGACGGAGAGGAAAGAGAAGCACTGTGAGAAGAATGTCTCATACCTCTCTTCGCCGAGAACGAAACGATCGTGTTGAATAGGCAGATCGATATAAGTGAATGGAGTACCAAGTCAATGGCAATGAGAGAAGAGGGCTGAATGGTGAGGATCGGTGCCTTGGAGCAACAGACTACTACAATGGAGCTGCGATACAATTCTCAATCCGTGGTATTGAAGACCTTTACTATTATCATATCAGTGAACGGGAGACAATGGCTTCCCTATTGCATGTTCCTCGAGAATTAATGCCATTGAATGACTCAAGGCTGCGATTGACACCTTATCGATTGCGGAAGGCAGGGCGATGAAAGGAGGAAGCGAATCTGACAAGAAGAGGAGAGAGACCCGGCTTTATGGGTGAATGAAGCAGTATTAAATGTCAATTGGAGCCAGGGCCAATCGTTCGTGCCATTCACCAAATCGAGGACGTGTGAATGACTATAGTTCGCTCACCGCCGAGACATCTCCACTTATTTGACAAACTGAACTTGACGTCGAGCATGTGGCACGATATATCTACTTTGTCGAGTCGTCTAACCGCATTGGGGCGCAATATGGCTGACTCTCTGAACGACTCTCTGTTCACATGGTTCCAGCGGCAGAGGTGGATCGTGGAGGAACTCAGGTATATGATACGCATTCCAAGCTCTTCTATGGCATGAACATGCTCGAGACCGCTGGCCTACACACCGCTTGGCCTGTGTAACGACATCATCACCACATGGAGAGTGGAGCTAGGAAAAGGAGACATGTGAGTTTCGCCCCTCACATGATGACTCGACCACATGCACGTTTTGAACATATATAGGAAACCGAAGCGGTGAGAATGACAAATGCCATCATGTCGTGGGAAGCTCCGCTGTAACACTTCAGAGGGAGCCGAAGGTGGTGGACTTATGCGGGCCGAGGGGTGACGTCGAGGCCATATCTCCTGTAGTCGAACTCCTCCAAGCTGTTGAGAATCTCGATTTGACCATCTGCCAATGCACGAGGGATTGTCAAGGTTCCATCCTCAGCGTTGCTGGTTGAGGGTATCTGACTTGCCCATCGTTCGAGCGTCCCTAGATTGACGTCGTTCAACACCTCTTCCTCATGGCCCCGATATATCTCCCTTAGTTTGGCGTGTGGAACCCAAACGATGCGCATTCCGGCCGCATAGCCAGCTTGCACGCCGGCGATGGAATCTTCAAAGACGACACACTCATCCGGCGTAATCTTTGGGCCGGGGACCGATTCGTTGATCAGATTGAGAGCGAGGAGGTAGACGTCAGGGGCGGGCTTTCCGCGGGCGGCTTGAATCCGCGGATCACGGCCGAGGACGCGGAGATGGGGAGGGAAATGTTCAAACAGAGGGCTGAGATGAGTGGTCTTGACTTTGAATCCCTCAGGCTGCGAGGAACTGACAAGAGCAAGGAAAGGAGGAGACGCCACACGGTTCTTGAGCGTGTGGAGGAGGGGTTCTACGCCGGGCAACGGTTCCGTTTTCGGGAAATGTTCCTGGTGGAGTTCCAGCTGTCGCGATTTATACTGTTCGATGGAGAGCGGGATGCCGGAGAAATCGAGCACGGCTTGGTTATTCTGTTGGTGTTAGCGGGATGTTATATCGTCATGTCGCTGACCAGTTCAGACGTGCTTGGTCTCCAGGTCGGCTTTGCATCTTCGCGACCAGCGTCCAGGGAATTTCCCCGTCGTATCCGTTCTCCACGAGGACCTTGTTTCGGACGGCAGCATATATATCCTCAGAATTGATCAAGAGTCCATCCATGTCAAAGAAGGCAGCTCTCACGGGAGGAAAGTGAGGTTGATCCATGGTCAAGTGCTCACGGAAGATATTTACTCAGGAATGTCAGTGTCTATAGTGTCGGGTAGATCAAGGTGAGATATGAGACGAATGAACTGAATGTCTTCGAAATCTCACACTCTAGTGACAAGAAAGTTAGACATTGTTTTCCATCTCGTCCAGAATACGATGTCGAGTTTATTGAAACTGAGGATTGGTGTCAAAGAACATTTGATGAAGTCAGGCTGCTGCCTTGGCGCCTTGTATAGATGCCTGAATCCTGACCGCAGCATCAGCTTTCAGCAACTTGCACTTCGCATTCAGGATTCCGGTATCCGTATTGAGCGCACCTGCATCACGGAATCTTTTCTCAAGGAAACCAACACTACTAGTAACTACTTATACATTGAACTCAACCTCCGCGCTCGATCTCCCATCATTCGTTCCCACATTGCGCTCCGAGACTTGAGATATAACCCAGCGGGCTCCGCATCCCTCAGAACGCGTGCCGATTGAATACGCGGTCACGATGCCGTCTTCAGGTCTGTGGCCTTTCAGATCATGATATTCTCATGTCAAGGCTATAAGAAGCTAATATTCAATCCCAGCCACCGTCCAACAAATCAAAGGCGTCACCGCCAACTCCCCTCTTCCGCCCTCCGTTGAGTATGCATACTACCAGAAGTGCATCGCCCTGAAACGCCGAATCAACGAAATCGAAGATAGCAACGACACCGTTCGGTTGAGAAAAGCCCGCGTCTCCCGTGCGATCCTGAAAATGCGCCTAGAACGCGCCCTCCTACTCGAGCAGCTCCAGAAACGCATGGAGCACAACCCCGATGACTCGGACCGCACCGACAGTCCACCCCCGACGGTGAGTGCCATGGAACTGCGCTGAATCCCGCTTTTCTCTACCACCCCATCATCAAAGCCGGGCGCTGACGACGTGTGCCTGGCAGCCGCAAGAGAAACCTCTCCGCTCCAAGCGGGCACACCGAAAGTCTTCGCCCCACGCGAGCCCCGCTCCGCCCGGGCCCGCATCTCCCTCCGCCTCTGCCTCTGCCCTCCCGGCCTCCCAGAACGCCTTCCCCCTCTCCCAATCCTCCCACCCTGCGCCCCTCTCCTCTACCAATTCCACCCCCGACCCCGCGCGCGCGCCCGCCTCGTTCTTCGGCGGCGGCGGCGGCATCCCCCTCCCTGTGATCGCGCGCTCCATGAACGGCGCGCCGGCGGCACAAGTACTACGCCATCCCCCAGCATATTTACCAGAATATATCACTAACCGGTTGCGTGCTGCAGAATGGTATCGATGGCGCTGATGCCGATGAGTCTGGACGGAGGGTGGAGAATGGGGAGATGAATGGAGCGAGGGGGGACGTGGAGATGGACGATGCGCAATCGGGGTTCGGAGCGGGGTTTACGGCGGTGAATCGATAGCGGAGGGTACACAATAGCATTTGAACATGGCGTTATGGGGGGTTTGATATCAGGAGGGTTGTCTAAGAGGGTATGGGAAACTGGGAATGCTTTGCGGGTGGTTCTACATTAGGCACCAGTATGAATACCTCTTTTTTTGGCTGAGTGCCTGTATAGGCCATTCGAATTTCAATACGACGGGGGATAGCGTTGAAGGCAGCCATGAATGGAAACAATGATCAGGACATGGTATTAATACTTGAAGAATCCAACTTAGTAATCATTACTGCCTCGTGCTCTTCCTTAGCTCGTCATGACTCCTCAAGAGGTCTGGTTGTGAGAGCAGTATTATTATACGAATATTCCCGAACTTAGCAGCTGTGTAATCGTCTTTCTATGATTGGTTTTATTTTCTGTCCACTAAGTTCGAACCCCTGCCTGTTGGCCAACCACCTACTTGGCCAGTATCACCATCTTCACCACCATCACCAAACGCGTAATATCTCAACCACCATATCGTATTACGATGTCAAATTCAGAGGAGATACTCCTACAGGCTATCCATGCCGTAGAGACCGGTCAATGCAAATCACAAAATGAAGCTGCGGCCCTATTCAAGGTCAATCGAGCTACGCTTCAAAACCGCCTCAAGGGCATGCAATCGCGCTCTACAGCTCAACAATCGAACCAACGCCTTACACCGGTGCAAGAGAGGTTTTTAGTCGACTGGATACTTGAGAGTGACGCTCAAGGATTCCCCCCTACCCACGCACGTCTGCGTGAAATGGCCGCGCGAGTTCTAGAGCTTCAGGGTGATTCTACACCCCTTGGGAAGAATTGGATACCACGATTTCTACATCGAAATCCACGCGTTGCGACGTGTGTTGGGCATAGTCTAGATGTCGTACGACGTCAGGCTGCAACCCAGGATACAATCAATGGGTTTTACGCGTATTTTCACCAAGTTCAGACACAGTACGATGTCCACCCTTCCGATACATGGAATATGGATGAAGTCGGTGTTGGAATGGGAATATGTGCTAATTCTACTGTCATCGCAGACTCGCAGAAGTCGACAGCTTATATCACGAGTCCTGAGAACCGGGAATGGTGTTCTATCATAGAATCAGTCTCTGCGACCGGTCGCTATATCAAACCAACCATTATCCAGAAAGGCGCGTCCCTACAAGCTGCTTGGTTCCCTGAACAACCTCCAGACTTCCATTATGCGGTATCACCAAACGGCTGGACTTCAGATCAACACGCGTTGGTGTGGCTTCGTACAGTTTTCCTCCCTGAAACCGCTACAGAGCGACGGTACAGGATCCTACTCATGGACGGGCACGGAAGCCACGCAACCGTCGATTTCCTATACGAATGCAGGATAAATGACGTGATTGTGGTCTTCCTACCTGCGCATACCTCCCACATCCTTCAGCCTCTCGATCTCGCCTGTTTTTCACCTCTGAAACGCTTCTACAAGGCCCTCCTCCGCCAAAGCGCGTATATCGACGAGGCGCTACCGATTAAACGACGAAGATTCATTGTCCTCTATGCTGAGGCGCGTCGGGCACGCCTAATTGACCGTACAATCAGATCAGGGTGGAAGGCTGCAGGTCTTATACCGTGGGACCCGTCAAAAGGTCTCAATAACCGGTTCGTGGTACCGCCCACGCATACCGAAACCGCATCCTCAATTCCACGACCAAACACGCCTCCACGCACCCCAATACTAGTCGCCTCGGTCCTCCAGACGACGCCCTACAAGCCCAAACAAATACAAAGTGCATTGCGCGTTCTTAGCAAGAACACACGCGTGACGAAGTGGACGAAGGCCTACATAGGGAAGGCAGCCAAGGCAATCGGAGTGCTACAGGCGCGTCAGGCTGCATCAGATCTGAAAATTGCGAGTCTCCAGGCCCGTCTAGATGCCGCCTCAGCCCCAAAACGCAAGAAGAAGGTTCGGATAGATCCCAATGTTAAGTTCGCACAGATTAAAGAGATCAAAGTAGCGCAAGAGGCTGTACGGCTTCTGGAGGCAAATACTATACTAGAACAGAGTATTCCCGTGGCTGAAACTATACCAGACGCTCCCCAAGATGCTGTACAATAGTCCTATGGTTTGAATTTTCAATATAATTACGTGGTGGTAGAGATGTCACGGTTTTCATGATGGTGGCTAAGATGGTGATACTGGCCAAGTAGGTGGTTGGCCAACAGGCAGGGGTTCGAACTTAGCAAACCATGCCGATTCTCCGATCTCGCTGGTTGCTTGAATTGAACAAAGAATCGGCCTCTGAATAGAAGGCACGTGATATCAATTCCAATCTTTCTGTTTCAGATGATCGTCTTATCATCCACATTCCCTCACGATAATCATTGCGATCGAAATAATTGATAATACACTACTGTGAAGTCCTTCAGAATTCCATTGTAGTGAAAGATCTTTGGAGCTCCGGTTCTGGTTAGCGCCATCGATTGAACCCTTCCCCCTCGCAAATCGCCGCCATTCGGCGTTTTGATTCCGTATTGGTAGTACTGCTGCAGACCGCTGCCCACCAAACCACCCAACCAACAGTCATCCATCAAAAATTCATCTTCGCCCCTCGATAACACTTCCACCTCTTCCACCTCCTTCGACTTTTTCATACTTTTGACTCTCCATCTTATCTCAACCCGGTCAAACTGGCCATTAGATTCCAATAGTTGCGCTTATGCGTGTCTCTCCGTCCGTCTTCACTTCTCAGGTATGATACGATCCGTTCCCTAAATTTCCCGCTGGATGAGTCTCTTATCTACGCTCTATGATCCTGACCCATCCACTTTCAACATCGCCTCAACCTTTCAAATTTTTGCCATTGACAACCCCTTTGCATCGACTATGGAGTAATAGAAGGCTAATTGAGTTTCTGTTATAGGATTACATCTCGGGTAAGACTTCAATCCGACTCATTACCGCCCCGATGGCACTGGAGTGGTGATACTGATAAGGTTCTAGATCACCTGTGGAAGGCTTCAAATAACTAAAAGACGATATATCCTTCGTTGAACAAACCTATACCCACACACAACACCCTCATTATCATTATCGACATCATGATTTCGAATATCATGAAGCCTTCCACGGTGCGACCCGTCATGGCCGCTGGTGCCCGAGCATTCCGTATGCCAGCCCCAGTCCGATTCATGGCCACGGTCCAGGGCAACACGGAGCGAAAGATGCCAGCAGTGAGGCCGAAAGGCACGCCGGCATCGTTTGAACGAGCGACCTTCACCATTAGGGTATGTATACATCCCCAAACGGTGAGTAAAACAGACCGGTGACTCACCGCCTTTTAGGATGGGCCGATCTTCGACGGCAAGTCGTTCGGTGCGAAGGCCAACATCTCCGGTGAAGCGGTGTTCACCACCTCGCTCGTGGGATACCCCGAATCGATGTCCGATCCTTCATACCGTGGACAGATCCTCGTGTTCACCCAGCCGCTGATCGGGAACTACGGCGTCCCCTCATCGGTTCGCGATGAGTATGGCCTGCTCCGTCACTTCGAGTCGCCTAACATTCAAGCCGCCGGCGTGGTGGTCGCGGACGTGGCGCTGAAGCATAGCCATTGGACGGCGGTAGAGGGACTCAGCGAGTGGTGTGCGCGCGAAGGCGTCCCCGCCATTTCCGGCGTGGACACCCGCGCCATTGTCACGTACCTCCGCGAGCAGGGGTCCTCCCTCGCCCGCATCACCATTGGAGAGGAGTACGACGCCGACGAGGACGAGGCCTTCATCGACCCGGAAGCCATCAACCTCGTCCGCCGCGTCAGCACCAAGGCGCCCTTCCACGTCAGCGCCCCCAGTGGCGACCTACATGTCGCGCTGCTCGACTGCGGCGTCAAGGAGAACATCCTCCGCAGCCTCGTCAGCCGCGGCGCTAGCGTTACCTGTTTCCCCTACGACTATCCGATCCACAAGGTCGCCCACCACTTCGACGGCGTCTTCATCTCCAACGGCCCCGGCGATCCCACCCACTGCCAGGAAACCGTCTACCATCTCCGCAAGCTCATGGACTCTTCCCAGATCCCCATCATGGGCATCTGCATGGGCCACCAGCTCCTCGCCCTCGCCGCTGGCGGCAAGACCATCAAGCTGAAATACGGCAACCGCGCCCACAACATCCCCGCCCTCGACCTCACCACCGGCCGCTGCCACATCACCTCGCAGAACCACGGCTACGCCGTCGACATGACCACCCTCCCAGCCGAGTGGAAGGAGTACTTCGTCAACCTCAACGACTCGAGCAACGAGGGGCTCATCCACACCTCGCGACCCATCTTCTCCGCGCAATTCCACCCCGAGGCGAAGGGTGGCCCGCTCGACTCCGCATATCTGTTCGATCAGTACGTCGAGAACGTGCGGAAATATAAGGATGGTCAGGCGGTGTTCACACCGTTGCGGGATAGTCGGCCCAGTCCGTTGTTGGTGGATTTGTTGGCGAAGGAGCGCGTGGGCGTGCATCCGAGTTTGCCGGATGTGAAGGAGCAGGTGGTAGAGGAGGCACCGGCGGTCACGGCGACGGCGTGAGGGATGTTATCAGGTTGGGACGATCATTGGAGGCGTATAACGAGATAGTAGGCGTTTTGAGCTTTAAACTCGCTAGCGGATTTAGTGAATTGATTCTTTTGGATTACATGGTTCTGCTGCCTTTTTGTGACTGGTCTGTAGCCCGTATTCATATCCGTGAACCAAACAATCCAAATCCCCCCATCTACTCCCCCTCCCCATCCCCCAACACCACCATCACGTACTTCACCCACCACTCCCCTCTCCCCCTCCACTCCTCCCGTCCCCAAACCCACCCCCTCCCCACCGCCTCCCGCAACCCCACCGCCTCTCTCTCCCACCCCCTCCTCTCATCCTCCCGAAAGAAATAATACCCCACCAATCCGCTCCCCTCCACCTGCGCATACCCCACCCGCTCCCACGTCTCTGCATCCACCGTTCCGCAGACGTCGCAGGTGGCGGCGCAGGAGCAACGGTACCGTGCGTGAGTGGAGGCGGACCAGCGTATGAAGCCGCAGTGGAGGCAGAGGGGGCGGGAGGTGAGGAGCCAGCGGGGGGTGAGGTTGGGGTCGGTGGACGAGTTGCTCGACGCTATGTCCGAGCATGCGGGGTCAGCGTCCGAGGTCGCCATCTCGTTGTCCGCAGCTATCTCCCCTTCCCGCTCACCGAACGCCAGGTTCGCGTCGTTCGGCGCGGCGGAGAGGACGGTCCGCGGCGATTGGGTGGTGAAGCGGGCGCGGTGGCGGGGGCAGACGGAGTGTGGCGGGGTGGGGAGGATATCACCGGGGCCGGCGAGCAGGTCTTTTGGGGCGCGGGGAAGGTGGGTGTCG